TTCAACGTATATTATAACAGAACGTTGTAAATATAGATGAACTTAAACGAAATTTAATGAATTACAATTGACATCTATTATATAATCCAAAGGGAGATGAACTTAATTTTCTTTTCAACATTTCAAAAACTTTGATCGCACTTATTAGAAAAGTTTTTTCTCAAAAAGTTTCTGTAAACTTCCATAATATCACACTCGAAAAATTGCATTAAGAGAAAACTTATCTTTGTTTGTACCATTTGTTATTTTTCCACCCTCGAATTCAATTTTTAATTTCAAAATAATTTAGTATTAAAAAAAAATTTTTGATTTTTGGGAAGTGATAAAAAAAATGTTCTGTCTGACTAAATGCGATTTTTACTACTAAATTTTAATATTTTGTATTATACTATTAGTCTCGTCTGACTAAAACCGATTTCTACTACTGATTCCAGCTGTAAACATTAATAGAAATTTTGTCTGACGAAAAACGATTCACACTACTGAATTCTAATTTTTAAGAATACCTCAAACTTCTGTCGGACTAAAATCGTTTTACACTATACTGATTTTTTATTTAAAAGTCAAAAAGAAAAAGAATTAGTCAGAAAAAATAAATAATTCCAAGTACAATAATAAAGAAACAACATTAAAGGTAAAATAATTAAAATTAATTATAAAAACACTATTATTGAAAAGAAACGAAAAACAAAATAAGATAAATAAAAAGAAAAGGGAGAATTACCGTAATTAGAAAATTTTAATGAAAATTTCTTTTTCTCAACTTGAAGACATTCATGTTACTGGTGAAATTTTAACGAGTTCCTGATTTTCTTTAGGGAAAATTTTCAAGAGAAGAAACTATACTTTATATTATTGTGAAACTCTTCCTGAGATTAAATCGTTAATTATTTCAAAAGCAGATTTCTTGAAGATTAAATGGAAAACGTACAAGCGACAATTTTCATCCTCTCGCAAGTTGAAACATTTCTGTTGAAAACGTAAGCTCATAACTTTATTTAGATTATAAGAACGAAATCGCTATACATATATATTTATATATAGATCCTCGTCTTATGTATAAAGTTGCATTGATATTTCAGACAAGTTATTGTCAGAGAGATTCCTTTCAATATCTTAAAGATTTTCGACAATATCATTAAGCTTTCATTCAAAACTTGCCTCTGTAATTATTTTATTGTTTCTCATCGCTTCTCATCTTTCAAGGGAAATCTTACATTTTATTTTGTAAATGAAATGAAAGAAAACGATAATCTTAGATTCTATTCTGTAAATTAAAGCAGGAAAAAGGAAATCTTTCCCTTTTATTTCATAAAATAAAGCAAAAAAGCAAAATCATATTTTATTTAGTAAATTAAAGGAAAAAAGAAATTTTTAATTTTAATTTGTAAATTAAAGCAAAAAAAAAATCTTAAATTTTACTTTATTAAAGCTAAAAGTTTTGCTCTCTTATAGAAATAAAAAACAAATAAAAAAAGGAAATCTTACATTTTATTTTACTAATAAAAGTAAAAAAAAAACAAATCTTGAATTTTATTTTCGAAAAATTTCGTTCCTCTATATAGAAATAAAAAAAATTTATTATTTAATTATAACATTATTATGTTTAATATAAACTCTGTTAAAAAAAGTCCTAAAACAGATAATCCAATTTTCGTCTAAAATTAAACTTAATTTCTTCAAAAAAAAAAAAAAAAAAATTGATTTATACATCGTAAGAATTTTAGTGTTAGTAATTAAAAGAGCAACTTTATGAAAAAAGTTTATAAACGTTCTCGTGTTCTCTATTAAAAAATTTAAAAAGCAATATCCCGTCCGTTTATATTCAACAACAGCAAAAAAAAAAAAAAAGTTTCAAAAGGTACTTAAAAATAGACTTGTAAAATTCTATTTAATATCTCTGAGATTTAAAAAATAAAACATTATATGAGACTAACGTTCATTATTGCAGATAAACTTTCTTTCTCTTTTTACTACTCACAATTTTCATTTTAAAACTTTTTATATATATGTATATTATCAAAGTAGAAAGCAATACAGTTTTCCTATGTATATACGTGATTAAAATAATATTGGACAAACAATTTTTCATCATAATTATTCGAAATGGAAATTAATTTTAATTATAAAGTAAAAATTAGCACTACATTCATTTCACTAAATTAGAATTAAATTTTCAAATAAATGTTTAATTAATTTCTTTCTGCCGATGTGGAGTAAATTTTTGGATAATTTTATATTTCTTTGGTACAAAGGAACAAATGTAGATATAAAATATTCTATTTTAATTAACATGACTGTTTATGAATATTGAAAAAAAAATTATTTGATTCAAATAATTGCTAACTTGTCCTATTATCAAATAAATATTTACTTGAATCGAATATTTTTTATTTAAATCAAATAAATTTTTTACACTGTATATTTAACTAATATACACTAATATTAACTGTGTTAATATTTTTATAATATTACATAATTATTATATTTAAGGATTGACACAAAAATTTTATTTTCTTCTTTTTCAGACTTTTTTTTACTTCCAGACAGAATTTTGACTTTTCTCCTAATTCTAAAGATTATTTTTCAAACAAAAATATTTTTTTTACTCCAAAAGTGATTAAAGGATTAAACTGATTAGACTTTAACTGATGATTATAATATTACAGAAAAATGATTGTCTGACCAAAAACTATTTATACTACTGAATTCTAACTTTTAGAAATTACTCAAATTTACGTCTACTTTTTGCTACTGCTTGAATTACGTTCCAGATTTCAATCGAATTTTTTTCTAAAATTTTTAAATAAAATTCTTCTTTACATAAATTATTTTTTATAATTTTTGAGAAAGTTCTTTGAGATTTTCAATTAGTCAATAATTTTTCAATTACAAATAATATTTAAAAATTCAACGAATTAAAAAAAAAAATTTTAATAAATAATTTTTAAAAAGTACTTTTTTTGAAATTTTTAATTAAATTTATTTAAAATTAAAATTTTCTAAAATCTAAATTAAAAACCTATTGAAATTTAATTATTTATCAAATTTGTATACTCAATTCTTATAAAATTCAATTATTCCGTGATTTTTTAGTAAAATTATCAGTTAAATAATTTATAATTTTAAGTAATAATTTTATAAGAATTTGGTAAGAATTGAATTATTTTTAAATAAATTCAATTTTATCTTTAGTAAAATTCAATTATTGTTAGAAATAGAACAAATTTAGGGTTTTCTATTAAAATTTATGGTAATTTAAAAATTTAAAAGGCAAATAAAAGAAAACTTAAAACGAACTAATATTCTTCTCTATATCGATTTTGAAAAATAATTTTTGGGAATATTCTTCGAGAATTCAGATATTCAAAGAAAAAAAGAAAGTTCACATAAAATATTTAAATACATACACTTAAATATAATTCAATTTCTTGAAATTTTAATTATTCGATAGTTTTTTAATTACTTATATATTGAAAAATTTAACTTACCTACTTTCAAAAATATAGCAATAAAAATTGTTAAAAGATTACTAACTTCTTGAGAATTTTTAATTAAAATTATTTTAAATTTAAATTTTTTAAAATCTTAATTTGAAACCTCTTGAAATTTAATTATTTAGAAAAATTAATGTTGTTAATGTATATGATATTTATAAAAATTCTACTCTCATCACTCCAAATAATTATTTAATTTCGAATTTTTAAGTAAAATTATTCGCTAAATAATTTATAAATAATATAATATGATAATAAGTAATGATATACATGATATGATAATAATTCTAATATGAAATTCAATTTAATATTTCCTAAACTTAAATTATTGTCAGAAATGAAAAAATTTAAGGTTTCGTATTAAAAAAATTCGTAATGATTTCAAAGTTTACAAGTCAAATAAAAAAAAATCCCAAGAAGAATTAAATCTTTTCAATATTTTTAAACGCTGCTGGACAGAAATTTTGAATTTTCTTATGAATTCTAACATTTTTTAATTTTTCCAGTACTTTTGATAAAATTCCATGATTTTTCCCTAACTTCCCTGACCTGTGTCAATCATATTTATAATAATTATATAATATAATAAATATACTAATATATTTTATTATTTAACAATAACTTAATTATTAAAACGTATAATTCTACATTATTAATATTTTTAGATTGTAACATAATAGAAGTTCGAGAGAAAATTTTTTTTTTCAAAATTACAATGCAATACACCGCAGGCACTTGTATTTATAATATTTCAAAAAATAGAATTATAATAAATTTTAAATTCATTATAGTTAATTGGTTAATGTGAGGTATAAATGAAATTTTATAATATTAATATTAAATTTAAGCCACCTCTGAAATTAAATATAAAAATATTAGTAAGCAACCAATTAGGAGCTATAGAATAATTTTCCAATGTAACATCAACTTGATAATAGGTATATATATATATTCTAATTAGCCTTGTAAATTCACATTGCTACGGGTATAAAGTATTTTCATTTATATACTTGAAAATAATGAAGCAGACTTGATTTAATTCTAGTGCTTATACTTTGCCATTAGGGTGCACATAATAATTATAATCGCGCCTAATAAGAAGCAGCAAAGGCATATTAATGCAATGAGAGCATTAATATTTAATCGCAAATTATTATTATTTTTATTTTTATTATTATTACTGATGTTAATATTACCGATATTATTATTAACGTTATTATCATTTTTATTATCATTATGATTTTCATTATTACCATTACTAGTATTATTACTAGTATTATCATTACTATTAGTAATATTAGTATTATTTCTATTATTATTATTATTATTAATATTATTAATAGTCTTCTCATTATTATTTTCATTATTTTCACTACTAGTATTATTGTTATCAATATTATTACTAGTATTATTATTATTACTATTGTTAATATTATTGTTATTGGATAAAGCAAATTCAGAGCCGTTTAGCGACAAAGTAACATCAGCAGTTGAGGAACTCACGAATACGTTGTCAAAATCAACCACTCCTGAACCTTCAATTGATTCGATTTCACCCGAGCCAGAGCCCGAAGGAAACTATAAAATCAAGAGAAATTAAAATTAATATTTTTTCAAAACAAAGGAGGGAAAATTTTTCTTTCAACAGCTATGAAAAATATAAAAAATGTTTTTCTTTCCATTTAAGGAGATAAAGTAGAGTTTTGTCAGACAAAATTAATCCTGCTTTTAAGTAGAACAAGATTGCACTGACAAGACGTATTTATATTTAAGTAGAAAAAACACTTTTTGATCAGACAATTTTCCATATTAGTATTAAAAAAATATTAATAATGATAATTATAATAAAAAAGTAAAAATAAAAAAAATAATAGTAATAATAAAAAATTCATAATAATAAAATTATTATTATAAATTTTTCCCTCATAGCAATGAGAAAGAAATCGATCCAGTTTTTTTCATTCGGATTTTGTAGAAATATATGGAGTTAATTATTAATAATATTTTATTAAGTATTTAAATATAAACTCATTTTACCGAATTTTGAAACGTTTACAAAATTTGAATATTATTAAAATATTATAATCAATGTATGTATACATATATTTACATATATACATAAATGAATGTTAGTTCAAAAGCATTTATCTCCCTGTGGACATTTTGGTTTGTATTGGATAATGATAAATTTTACGTAGAAGCAATTCGGTTTATTTGAAAGCAGAATTCTCATATTCTCCATGATATACATACATATAAACGAAAGTACAAACTAACATATATTTTAATTATAGTAATTTGAAAGGTATACAAATTTAGTTATTAACATAGATTATATTGCAATTATAAATATAAATCAGAAGATAAAGATTCTATAACGATAGAAGGAATTACTCTATGTATTTTGTAAATTTATGTAAGAAATATAAAAAAAATTGATTTTCTTTGTAGGTCTGACTATAATTGAGCTTTACTACTGAATTATAATTTTTTTGTATTATATTAAAAATTGCGTCTGACTTAAAAACGAATTTTACTACTAATTGTGTATTAACACTTTAAAAAAGTGTGTCTGACTGTAATTGACCTAAACTACTGAGTATAAAAATGCAATAAAAGTTGTGTCTGACTAAAATCGATTTTTACTACTTATTTACATATTAACACTTTAAATAAGTGTGTCTGACTAAAATCGATTTTTACTACTGATTTTATATTAACAGTTTAAAAATTATGTCTGACTAAAAACTATTTTTACTACTGATTTTATATTAACACTTTAAAAAATTATGTCTGACTAAAATTAATGTTACTACTGAGTTTATATAACCACTTTGAAAAAGTATGTCTGACTAAATTTTTAGTTTAGATTTTTATTACTGATTTTATATTAACACCTTAAAAAATATGTCTGAGTAAAAACGATTTTTACTACTGATTTTATATTAACACTTTAAAAAATTATGTCTGATTAAATAGGATTCTTACTACTGATTTTATATTACCATTAAAAAAAGTATGTCTGACTGTAATTGTCCCGCACTAATAGATATGCAAAAAAAAGTTGTGTCTGACTAAAAACGAGTTATACTACTGAGTTCAGACTAAAATCGATTTTTATTACTGATTTTATATTGACATTTTAAAAAAATTATGTCTGACTAGAAATGATTTTTACTACTGATTTTACATCAATACTTTTAAAAAGTATGTCTGACTAAAATGATTTCTACTACTGATTTTATATTAATACTTTAAAAAAGTATATCTGACTGTAACTGCGACCTGAACTACCAAAAGTAAAATTGCAAAAAGGAAATTTTGTCTGACTAATAACGAGGTTTACTACTGAAATGTCATTTTCTTGTATTATATTAAAAATTGAGTTTTACTAAAAATTATTTTTCAAAATCATTTTATATTAATATTTAAAAACATTATTTTTGACTATAAACCGTCAACTTATTATTAAAATTCCGTACATATTATACAAGAACAAAAATTTAAATTTCCAACGTGAAAGAAAATAATAAAAAAATATTTTAATTACAAAAACAAATAAAAAATAATAAAGAGTGAAAAGAAAAATAGAGAGTAAAATTTTTTGTTTTTGGTTAAAAAAAATATATGGGAGCGATGTTGGTCGATGTATGAGCCAATTTTTCAGTTGACTTTAGTGTGTTTAAAATGTCCATGACAGTTGCGCGCGGTTTACCTCTTGGAAAGGCAAGTTTCAACCGCGGTTTTGCGGAAACGTGAAATTTATCTTTTGGTCTAACAAAATTTACTATCGCTTGTGAAACACGCGATTCCCTTGAGCACTTATCGAAGTATCAGTTACACTTTCAAACAACGACGACGTAACCTTTAACATTCCTAGATAACTGATAGGAAACCAATTCCCCCGCGTGTATTTTCTCTCTTAGGGTTAAATTTATATCGTTGCCACTGGAAAATTAATTAAGAATATATTTCATTTTATTGTTTATGTGGAATGTTCCAATCCTATTTATATATTTGTATATATGTAAATTGTATAAATTTTCTTTGTTAATTAAACCCCAATTATGGGATCTGTAGTTTTTTTATTTCTTAATAAGTAAAGGCGAGTTTTAGTCAGACAGTTTTTTTGAATAGTAGATTCGGAATTAGTAGTAAAAATCGATTTTAGTCAGACTGCATTTTATTGAAAATTGGTAAAAAAAAACTAGAATTCAGTAGTATAAATCGTTTTTAATCAGACGAAACTCTTTTCTTGAAATTCTATAAATAATTAAATAGTAGTTAAAGTCAGTTACAGTCAGACATGTTTTACAATTTTGCAATCAGTAGAAAAAATCAGTTTTAGTCAGACCAAACCTTCAGTAATTTCTAAGAATTTTATTTCAGTAGTATAGATTTTTTTCAGTCTGACTAATCTTTATTTAGTAGTAAAGAACGTTTTTAACGAAACAAAACTATTATTAATTTTTTTTCAGTTTTACAATCTGTACGTAAAGTCAGTTTGAGTTAGAATTTTTTTCTGCATTATCATAATATAAAATCAGTAGAAAAATCGATATTAGTCAGACAGAAGGTTTAGTAATTCTTAAGAATTAGAATTCAGTAGTAAAAATCGTTTTTAGTCAGACGCAAAATAATTTTTAAAGTGTTCATTTAAAATTCAATTTAAAATTAACTTTCAATATAAAACAAAATATTAGAATTCAGTAGTATAAATCGTCTTTAATCAAACAAAATTTTTTTTGCAATTCTATATCTAGTAGTTTAAGTATGTAACAGCCAGATATAATTTCTTAAGGTGTTAATATAAAATCAGTATTAAAATGATTTTAAATAAAACTTAATTTTTAATATAATACAAGAAATGACATTTGAGTAGTAAATCTCGTTAATAGTCAGACAAAATTTCTCTTTTGCAATTTTATATTTTTTTTTTAATTTTTTATTAAAATAAAAAAATTTTTTTTTATAAACAAACTAATTTTTTTAACTTTGGGACGGATTTTTTTTATATTTATTTATACCTTCTAATATATAGAAGATTTTCCGAAAAGTCCCGAAATGGGCCTGATGTGTTAAATGAGTTTTCTAACATTTTCAAAAATCATTTCCTAGCATCGCAGTGGGATTTTTTTACAATTATTTTTTTAAAACTGTCTATAGCGTATAATTTTTAAATTAGAACAAAGAAAATTATAACACATTATCAGTGATTTTTCACTGATTAGCCGAATAAAAAATTTCAGTTATTATTTAATTGGCTATTTTATATTATTTATTTTTTATTGGTATTTTTTTTTTGTGAAAAATGATTGAAATTTCAATCATTTTTAATTGATCGTCAATGAAATGTCACTGATTCAAATGGCGAGAGGAGAGTCACTGAAAATCAGTCAAATTTCACTGATTCATTTGTAGCAAGTGCTATTGTCCCGTTTTTTTCCTGCGATAAAAGTACAAAATAATTTTTGTAATATTTTCAAAAATTTTTATTTTCTCCATAAGAGTCAGAGAAAAAGCGAAGGAGTAAATTAAAAAAAACGTTACGTCATTACCCTCTCTACGTCATCTATTTTGTATCATTTTTTATGCGTGAAATATATAAAAAAATCATTTAAAAATTTTCGAAAATTTTATTTTTGAAAATATGAGAGAAAAATTTGTAAATTTTGAAGCAATTAAAAACTCATTAAAAATCAATTAACGGTAATGGCTAACGACAGAACAAACATTTCTTCAGTTATTAATAAACCTCGGGCCGCGTAACACTTCGCTGTTTGGATTATTTTGGGGCCGTTTGGATCCGTTTGGTTACGTTTGGATATTCTGGATATTTCTGGATATCTTTGGTGATATTTTTGGATAAGTTTAAAAAGTTTGGAAACACTGGACATTTTTAAAAAAATTTCAATGTATTGGATAAATTTGGATGTTTTTGGATATTTCCAATAAAAAGTGCATTTGTTAAAAAACATGAGAAAGTGTCGCTGGGGCAGAAACAACGTTATGAAGTTTGAAGAAATTTAAATTTTTGTTTTTCTTGTGAGTGTTAGCTTGGGAAGTGCGTCATCGAACGAGAGCAGCTCCAGGGATGATCTCGGGAATAAGCTGAGACTAACCGCAGTAAGTAAAAAAAATTTTTTTAATTTTTTAAATTGAAATTTATAATTTTTTAATGGTTTTTTAAAAAGATCCTAAAGTTCTGAACGTTCAAATGAACGAAATTTATTTATTTCTTCTACAAATTTAATTTTTATTGCAATTATTTCGCGTCACTATCCAAAAAATTAATAACTGAGTTTTTAACCGTAAATATTTTAGTTTTTAAATTTTTTGTGATTAGTAATTTATAAAAATATCTTCAATAAAAAATATTTCGTTCATTTGAACGTTCAAAACTTGGGAATCATTTTTTAAAAATTCTCAGTGATTTAATTTTTTCAAATGTTAAATTATTTGTATTTTAATTACCTTTATTTTTTCCAACTTTAAATAATTTTATTTTAATTTTTGCAAATTCAAAATAATTTTATTTACATTTTTCCAAAATTTAAATAATTTTATTTACATTTTTA